ATCCTGTATGTTTGAGGCTCTTCAAACACAAAAAATAATCTTAAGAAATATAAAACACTTCTGTTTTTGAAAATAGATTCTTCTCTAATACAATACATCCTAACCACAATTTCCTCCTTCTCTGATCCTTTTAGCTCCTCCACCACCTCCCTCTCCCCAATATCTACTCCCCTTCTACTTCCTCTTTGGAAAAGAGCAAGACTTTAAGGGATGACAGCCAGACAGGACCAAACAAGATACACTAATACTAGGTGACAGACCTCATAACAAAGCTGGACAAAGCAACCCAATAGTAAGAAAGAGCTTTAAGAGCAGGGAAAAGAATCAGGGATATACCCATCCCACTGTCTCTTTAGAACATCAAATTAACAACTATTACATATATGCAGAGTACCTGATTCAGTCCCATGTAGGCCTGTACTGTTTGTTTCAGTCTCTGTAATCCCATATGAGCCCCAATTTGTTAATATGGTGGGATGTGTCCCCCTGGTTTCTTCCACCCCCTCTGTCTTCTACAATCTTTCCTTCCCCCCTTCTGTGGGGTTCCAAACAGAAAACATTAAACTAAAATAAGTTTTGGAAAAATTTAAATGAATACTTTGACCACTACCTTTGTAGAATAAAATTCTATTATGGACACACTGATAGTCTAGTAATAATAAAGTAAGTGGACAACTGACAGGTATGTGACTGCTGTGCATTGATAACATTCCCGTTAAGTATTGAAAATACACTGGATATACAAAGTTACCAAGAAACTAGACTGATGCTTATGGTAATAATTTAAAACTGCAATTGAACAATCATACTGAATTACTTATTTGAGCTTATAGACATTACTATGACTAACAATACCCAGAATTAGAAGAAACCATCTATAGCACTTGCTGCCACACTTGCCAAGCTCTATCCCTTTCTGACTGTGTCTCTCTCAGTGAGGCCCAGAGCATCTGAACCTTATGGACAATGCTGCTGGATCTGTGACAACTCTCTTGAAATCTAAAAATCATGGTTTTCACTCACATAATCTTTACATAGTGAGAAACACTCCCCAACCACTACACTACACTACCCCTTGATTTGTTTCCTACAACTGCACAGTTGTCTGAAATCAAGTCAAAGACGTTTCTAGGGCAGAGGAAATGGCTCTGTGGATAAAGGTACTTACTGCACAAACATTAGAAACAAAGTTGAGATCTCCCAAATCCACAAAATACGAGAAATTGTATGTCTGCAATTCTAGGACTCCAATAATGAGGTGAGAGGACGCAACAAAACTCATGAGCCATATCTCTTCCACACACAGTGACAAACAAAATATCCTGTTTCAAACAAGTTGTATGATGAGGCCCAACACACCAACTTGTTCTCTGACTTCTACTTCAATACCAATATTCACACATGGACCCACACAAGCATACATACATACACACACACACACACACACACACACACACACACACGATTTTTGAAAAGTAGTTCCAATAAAAATGATAACTAATACCATTTATGGCTTCAAGATCACATCTTCTTTTAGAAAACTGGAAGTTAGATTGCTTCCAAAATACCTAAAGACTTACTTTAAATTATATTTTCTGGTCTGCATTTTGTATGCTTGCTGTAAATTGTATTAATTGTGACCCCTTTAAAAGTACCTAGCCATTAAGTTCAATCTCCCCAAATCATTGTGTCATTTGGAAATTGTGATGCTCATAATCCTCTGCTAAGTCTCTTCTTAGGAGATTAAATTAGGAGGAAAATCTGTCAAAGAGTCTAAGAGTCACTTAGCTTTTCATGTGCACTAAGATGAATTTGCTGTCCTGTTTTCTTTCTTCATTTCTATTTCCAAATAACTTTGAAATATTAATATAATATAAATATCAACTTCAGGTTAAATAAAACCAAGTAAGTTTAATATGTTCTGTTCTAGTGAAAATTTAGTCACATTTCTTTTCACACTTCAATCCTTAAGAGGCATAATAAAGTAAGTTCAAAATCACCTATGATCCCACATCATGGAAAGAAAAATGTCTGGTTAAACAAGAAAATATACATGAAAAGGCCTTTGTATTACCTGCTGTATTGTAACTACCTCATTTTCAAGAAAATATGGAGCAACTACTTCTTAGAAAATATTTTACAGCATAAGTTTTCACAGTAAGATTTTGAAGGTAAAATTATTGTTGGCTATTGTTTTAACATCAAAATATAGGAGACAAAAATTTCATGTGAAGGAAATAATATGTTCAGAGGTAAATATTTTGAAGCATAAGTTTAGGTTTAGAGAACAAAGAACAAGTTAGTAAAAATCAGTAAATTTCAACCCCGATTGCACATTAGAATCACTTAGGTGCTTTTAAGGCTCTAAGTGACTGAGTTCAATACTAAAACAATTAAATCTAAATCTCCAGGTATCAGAGATAAACATTCATATCTAAGATAAACAAATAAGCTAAACATCTCCAGAGGAGAATTGGGGGAGAAATAAAAGAGGAGAGGAGATAGATTAACAAATTGAAACTCCCCACTGCCATTCATCTAAAACAGTCCCTGAATTTCCCATTGGAAAGACACACATGAAATTAAAGGCAAAACTTGCAATGTGTTGAGCTATTGTTGCTGTCATTTGTAAAGAATTTTGAGCCATTTTGGCATCTAGGGTTACTACCATGTTCCCTACTGGCTTGGGGTGTTCTCTGTACATGAGGAATTCTCAGAACAAGCAAAGGCAATACCATTCTAACACCCTGTACCTCCCTTATTGCAACTGACTAAGAAAGTAGCAAGTGTACAAACTCATTCCAAGAACACAGAACAAAGAGATTTCTGAGGTGAGTCCACAAGTTCACATGTAACTTCATAGGTTTTATGGAGATTATCTTTTTTATTCTCCATCTCAGTTGGACATTTTCCTTTTAAAACAGAAATATTTGAGACTCTGATATTGGTTATAAAAAGTCAAAATTAATTATTTGATCTCACTCTTGAGACATTTCTGATGTACTGGAAGAAATGCAACCTGCTATTGGAAAAAGATCACATGTTTTGAATTCAATCATAGTTGTTTCATTTGTTTGTTCTTCAAACAATAGTTAGACTTTAGATGTGTTACATAAACATATAAACTGCTGTTTTCTCATCAGTAAAACTGGGACAACAGCAATATTATCCAGTGTCAAGTAATTCTGTTGTTCAAATGAGACTATGTACATGAATGATATTTGAATGTTTGATACAGAGAGTATGTATACAATTTATTTCTAAGTATTTATCCTACTACAATAATCTAAAACACATGTAACTGAGAGATTATGAAGGTCTCCTGACAGTACTGCACTTTCAAATTCCGCTTGCATAATTATATTTAGAAAAAGTAATTTTGTGTCTACTTTTAATATAACATTTTCCAAAAGTGGTAAAAATATCTATGATGTCAAAAACAAATAATATTACAAATATTTGTGCTGATATTGCTAAAGTGTGTGATGTTAATGATTAAGTTACTTTGTTAGGTTAATTTATTTTTATTTTTAATTGACAAAATTATTTTATATTTATGACACATGATATTATGATATTGGTATATACAATTATGGAATAACTAAGTCAAACTAAGCATCATTATGCTGCTTTATGTATTTTACATTCCTCAGTTTGAATGCTTACAGTCAATTTTCTTATCAGTTTCCAAGTGTACCATGCACTGTGATAACTGACACTGCTTTGTTGTCAATCACCCTCCTCTCCTTGTTCTTCCTAAACTTCACCAACATTCAAAATATCCCTACCATAAAACTTGTAACATTTAGAATAATAATTCCATGGTAAATAAATGCTTAAGCAAGTAAATAAAATTAGCTATAAAATATTAAGATATATGGGTACATTTTGGTGGTTAGAAATGAATGTCAGTATTAAATCATTAGGTTGTTAACTTTTAAAAGGTTCTTTACTTTAAAATTTTATACAATTTGCAATATTTCTGAATTATCTTCTCTGAAATTATTTGCATTTCTGATAAAATAATTAGGATGTACTTAAAATATCTGAGACTGTATATCAAATGAAGTTCTAAAGCTTTTATTTCATGCTATGATTATGATGAAAAATAAAAGTCTTAAAGTCTATTCCTATATAGACTATGTTCCCTGATAAGGTATGGTTTGTTGCTACATAGGATAGACAGTAAAACATTGCATTAAATAGCTTAGACTCTGTAATTAACTGTTTCAATACATAAATGTATGCAGTTCTTTGTTGTGCTAAATCCTTTTTTAGAAACCTACAATAATGCAAAAAGTAATTTATATAATTATTCTGAATTTTGTGAAATTAATAATTTCAAGTTCTTAGAAAAAAATCCCCCCTCACAATTGTAGATAACAAATTACAGTGGAAAGCATTGTGTGTTCTTACAGTGACCTTACAGAAAGATGAGAACTTGATTTTGTTTTTGAAAATGAGTCTTAATTAGCCATGAAATGAATGTGTTACAGGATTGAAAACATTATGAGCTGATGTCTCTAGGACAATTACACATGAATGACAATAAGGTTGATCAGAAATGTTGTGCTTCTTCTGGAACGAGGATCCAAAATTAAAATATTTGTTAGAACATGAAATAAGAGGTTACAAGGACACTACAAAGGACTCCTCAAGGGTTTGTTACATATTTAATTGAGAGGGAACACTAAGTATTATAAAGTTTCTTAAGACTGTGTAGTATTAAAATGACTTAACAGAGATGCACCATGAGGTAGTCTATATTGGCTCAGCCTATCTCACTGATTAATCTGCACAGAGTGTACTTAACCTAACACCTTTTAGTTTGGCAAAGGTCTCAATGGTTTTTCAGAATCCAACATCAAATGAGTTTACTAATTGATTTTGTTATTTAAAATCAGGCTTTTCTCTATCGTTATAGATGAGATGAGATAATCACTTAAATTTTTCAATCATTTAGGTAAACTAATCTTTAAAACTTTCCTTGTCATCAACAGGATTTGCCAATCCACTCACAGGAATAGCAGATTCTTCTCAAAGCACAATGCACAATGCTTTGCACATCTATATGAATGGAACAATGTCCCAAGTCCAGGGATCGGCCAATGATCCCATTTTTCTTCTTCATCATGCTTTTGTGGACAGGTTAGTTGACATTTCTTCATAAATTGTATGTTCATTGGACTTAAATGTGTGACATATATGGTAGTCAGTGTGACTACCATATATGACTTTAGTTATCGTAACAAATCTGATAAATTATGGTGGTTTGTTATCCTGAGAGACTGTAAGCTAAGGGTAAAAATGCAAATTCTTTATAGAAGTAATATTTAGTAAAGAGAAATCAGTAAATGGTAATACATGATAAGGAAGGAGAAAAATTCAAGTTAGGTTACAATTATAAGTTGAGGTGTGGATTCATCCATATCTTGGAACAATATAGGCCACCCTTTATTTGATATTAGATTAGGACAAAGGAACAGATTTGGAATCTAATACTAAAGAGTCAATAACTTCAAGTTGACTTGAGATACAGTATGCTGAACTCCAAAGTACTAGCTTGATTCCTCATAGGCTTGGTGGTTCCAGTGCTGATGACTTGAAAGCCTTAGATATGCTGTGAAGAATAAAATTAGGAATATAGGGAATCATCTGTGTACACAGGACAAAATAATGACAGTTTTCATAGAAGAGATAAAGACACATTAAAGTTTCATAGGAATTTGCATGCTATGGAACTCATTTGGTTCCTTACTATTTTTAAAGCAAACAGATATGAGGGTGTGAAAAGACATGGTAAATGTGTTAGCAATTTGGACCTTGGAGAATCAGCTTTCATCTAGCCTGCTATCTAACAGTACAGTATTTTCACAGAAACAGCAATGTGCTGGGAATGGTTACTACCAGTATGGATCACTGGATGTAAAGCATTGTTAATATCTAGAATTCATCCATGAATATCATAGGGAGTTTAAACTAATCATAGAAGTATTCTGCTTTCCTTTTCTTATCTCTAAATATGGTCTTTAGGAGAAGTTATGAAGAACTCAGAGGTTATAAGGGGCAAGCAATCAAGCAATGAAACTAACTAAACAGATTTGTGAATAGTAAGCAGTAAGAGACAGCTGACCTACTGACAACCATAGAGCCACACATAGGAGTGTGTACATAATAGAAATAATATGACAATATCAGTGTGGTCACAATGCTGAGTAGAAGAAATAAACTTAATGATATTCTATGATAGTGACCTGTAATATTCTTATTCTCTGGCAATTTGAATAACCATTATTCAACAGGTACATTATTTTAAAAAGTTTGCATATGGTAAATGATAGCAAGAATAGTACTATAAAGGAATGGCATGTATTATTGAGGTTTGGAATCTTGCAAACTTATTTACTGTTACTAGGTACCAATATTTTAGAAGATCTCTTTATTTTTATGTATTCATTCAATGCTATTCAAGAAATAATTAGAATGAATAGGGCACCCACTATATGCTCTCCATAACTGAAATAATTCATAAGCATAGGTCAATGGGCTGTGCCAATATTTAGAAGTCAAAGGATAATTTAAGTACATATTTACCTATAAGGCTTTCTTCATCTCTCCTGGGAATATACTGAATTATTTTAAGTCCAGAGATATTTGTTCTTCCCTTTTCTATAGAGATTAATTCATTACATTGTAATTATCTAAGAACTAGTTTATTTAAACATATTTTCAGTTATTATTTTTAAGTCTAATTTGATCAGTCATGATTTGGTTGTTCTATACTCAGCATAACAACAAGTAATCTGCAGTTGATGTAATTAATGAAGGCTTACAATGCACAATAAAATGTGCTAATTAGAAAAATGGGTAGGAGAACTGCAATAATGAATTTCCTATTGTCCTTCCACAAAATAAACTGTAGTAGCTCCTGAATGCTAATGGGAAACTTAGTGACCACTAAAATAATGTCAATGAATTTATAATTGATGGGCTACAAAGTGTTGTTTATATTATAAATTGAGGAATGAAGGCTACACTACTTCAACTTGCTATTTTGTCATAATATGTATTATTCTGCCTAATAAAAAATGAGAAGAAAGCATAAAGAAATGTTAATGAATCATCTCTGGTTTTGACATCAGTTTCAAATTGATTAGTTTTTCAATTTATTAATATTTAGAAATGGAGAAATATTCTTCTGTAATAAGTCAATGATAGAATCATTTCTAAAAACCCAAAGGAATGGAAGAAAATGTGCATTTGTTTTCCTACAACTCTCAAAATGTATTAAACATGTTTGTTTTCTTACCAGTTTTTATTAAAGTGATTTCTGGTGATATAGTTATTTTGAAGCCTGTGCTTCATAGATTGGTTTAATGAAGGCTTCCACTAGACATTGGTTTAAAGAAGACTTCCACTAGATAGTTCAGCTCAAGGTACTGCATATTCTGGTATACATCAGATGATATCTGTCTAGCCTCAGCTTCTGAAATGGCTTCCCATTTTAGAAAAACCTGTCATGGTGAGAGCTCTACATGCAAATGTTCCTATCAACTCTCTGCACAAGCTGGTCTTCAAATTCTCCTTTTGAAATTCCTTGTCTGTGCTAAAGCTTAAAAATCCACATCTCAATTTTAAGTAATTTAGTTTGCTAGATATGTTTCCATTTTCACCCTTTGAGAGAACGATGCCTTCCGCAAGAAATAGTGGATTGTTGGTGGGTAGCATAAACTGGAGATAAATGTCTGGGAGCAGAAAGGAGCTTCATGAAGACATGGTTTTTCTGTTCACGTAAAAACTCAAGGCTCTAAATTTTTAAAAGCAAGCACACTTCTGCATACATGCAACCAATTGTCTGTACATTCAGGAAACATAAGAAGCTTTTTTTATACTCTATGTGCTATAATAGACTTGCACAGGAAACAATCACTACATATTTTGCATACCCACCTAGTTACATCTATTCTATATAACAAAAATTAAGTAACATATGGTGAAATGCAGCTACTGTGGTAATTGTGACTTAATATGCAAAGACATTTGGGAGTGAAGAAGAAAATACCATGGGCGTAAAAACACACAGGCATCCTGTTCAGTACCTGAACTCACAACACTAACAATGTAACCTTCACAAAGCAAATAATCACTATTTTGAAATATAATTGTGTCTGGAGGGTCTTTGAAACATGCCTATTATTTTGGTTGGTGGTTTTGGGAGTAAAAATGTTCATCCCACAGCTAACATAACACATAAAGAAATATGTAGTTAAAGAAGAACCATATTAGCTTCAGTTATTATAAAAACTGCTAAAATATTAAAAGTGCAAGTAACATTCAGAAGAAGTAGCTGTATACCCAGTTCTGTGTATGGTGTAAACAGACTCATTTAATACCTACAGAATCTGCCATTATGTTAGTTAAGTGGCATGACGTTGTACTGTTAAATAAATAAATAAATAAATAAATAAATAAATAAATAGTACTGTTATAGAGAGTTAAGTCCCCCCTACTAATCTCCTCATAAAATACTTAATAGAAAAATATATGTCTTTATAGACAAAGGATACTCTTATACCAATGGGAAAGCTAGAATTATCATCACAGTGGGTGTTTTAAAAGAAGTTCAGGAATGTGGTTGCTATAGAAGGATACCGTCCAGATAGAAGGAATTATAAAACTAGCCATCTAAAACCAGATTGACCAAAATGGGTCTATTGCCCATTAGAGTTCCCAGCTTAGACCAGCCATTTTAACTGCTTCTTAAACCTTAGTCTAATGTTATTAGGCATGACAGTGAGATTGTGTGGATAGACATATGGAATCACCAAGTGAGATAGAGAAAGAGCAAGATAAGATTCTTACCTGTAGTAGTTCATATTTAAGATCTTAGGCCCAAAAAATAAAGAAATCGTGTGATAGAAAAATGATTAAATTCTTATGTGCCTTGGGAAATCAGTGGACCTTTTGGGCCTATTTCCTCACAAAATGATGGTAGTGATACTCTTTATGAGAGCATTGCAACTTACAAAGTTGAGACTCACATTATACAGAAGAAAGCAGTAAGAAGGATATTTAAAAATCACTGCATAGTCTCTATTTGACATTTTCCCAGTGCTCTCCAGTACTGGTAATCTTCCTTAAGCAGTTCTCTGAGACATATGTTTTGAGTGAAGGACAATCCTACATGAATGAATAATGCATTCTAGGAATAGTGAACCTGTCTCCATCCTTGGCCTCAGATTAATTATCATTCCTGCAGTGACCTCTTGGCTGTATTTGCCTTCCTTACACTCTACTCACCCAGCATCCCCTGGGCTAACTTGCTAAGAAGGCTTCCCAAACCATATGCCCTCAAGTCAGATGCTGTAGCAAATTGGCAGCACAGTAGTCCAGGCAGAATGGTAGCAGCAAGACAGGTCCCTGGTACTTCAGGAATGAACAGCAGATTGCTTCCCAACTGGTGACTGGAGCTGAAGCTTGCTCAGAAAGGCAGAAAAATCAGGGTCATCTCAGAAATCAGAGAAATATGTGCAGCTCTGTTCTTGCCATCAGATGGGATGTCAGAGGGGGACCATCCCTGTGTTTGTTTCTTCTCTTATTATTAGATTATGACCAGATTTAAAATGCCTCTTTTTTCTTCTCTGAATTATATTAGCTATAAAGAATTTCCATTGTGCCATTATAATCATATTTGACCATATTCCCATAGCTCTTTGTCCTGTTACATTTAGCTCTTAAAACATTTTGCCTTTGTTAGATTGATTCATGTGTGTATCTCCCAGTATATGTTGAGCTCTCTGCTGACAGGGTCTATATATTGATCACCTCTGGAATCTAACAATTATACATAGAAGCCATTCACTGAGACTTCCTAAAGTGTCACATAATTGAGAATTTTTAGGCAGAAAGCCTCTATGGGTTATCAATAACATTTGTTGTGGGATAAAATATATATCCACGGACATTGAGTTGTAATCTATGTTATGAAAAAGGAATCAATTTCTATGACTAGTAAGACATGTCCTATAATGAAGAAAATCTCTCAAATTTTTGTAGGATCAATGTGCTTTAGCAGTAGGAGGGTTACAATATTGTTAACCTAAATATTTCATTGACAGCAGTAGAGAAAAAATAGATCTTCATCATTA